GTGCAGCGCGTTGTTCACGCAGCCCCGCTCCCCGCCCACGTTGCCCTTGAAGCACGTGGCGCCGCTGCCGCGCACGCTGCGCACCTCCAGCTGCGCAGCAGGGCAGCGCAAGGGCAGGGCAGCAGGGTGGTGCAGGGTGGTGCAGGGGGACGCTCGGGCGAGGGTGGGAGGAGGCAGGGGGCCGCGCGCGTGGGCGGTTGCGCTTCAGCGTGCTGCAGAACCTGCATTCCCTGCAGGCGCACCAGGTGCGAGCATCAGACTTGGTGGACAGTACGTGCACTGGCGTGCAGTCCGAGCTTTCGAACCACGATCTTCTGCCCTTGGCGCTGAAGACCGGACTGCCAACCTCTCTCAAAGCTAGCAGTCACGACGACCACTCCCACTCGCAGGTAGGCCCACATGCGTCCGCATGCACCCATACTGCACATCCAAGTCAAACACACGCACGCGCGCGCAAACACACACACACACACACACACACATACACACATAAACACACACACGCTCGCAAGCACCTCGCTGTGCAGCCCCCCTGCCGCCAGGTAGCCGTGCGCATGAGTCATGCTGTTGGGGTCGAACGACAGCGCCAGCGCCGTGGTGGCCTGCGCGCCGGCGGTGCCCAAAAACCGCAGGAAAGGGGTACGACCCCAGCATGGGAAGGTGTGTCAGCGCTTGGTGTCTTCTCAGCTGCTTTGCTGAGGCGCGGCGCTTGGAACGCGGGTGCCATATGCAGGCATCAGACCTTGTGCACCCTGCGAAATGGCCAAGCAGCTGCGGCGCGCTGAGGGATGGGCCCCCACACTGCTGGACCGCCGCGCCGCCGCTGCTGGCCCCCGCACCCGCGTGCGGCGATCCGTGCGTGCGAGCGGCCGCCGCGGCCTGCGACTCGTCGTCTGTGAATGGATCAATGCCCCGCAGAGCCCCGGCTGGCCCCGCCCTTTCGAACGCTCATAAGCTGGCGCCCACCGTTTTGAGTTTGGTGTTGAACAGCAAGATCTGCTGCCGCCATGGCACGTAGAACTCTGCAGAGGGTAACGGCGCCGGCAGGGATACCCAAACGGGATCAAGAAACTGCAGCATTAGCCAGGGGCTCGCGAGCGGGCCAGGGCGGGGCGTGCACCCGGAGGGCGGCCAAGCACCACGTGCAACCGACGAGCGGATTGGCCCTGCCGCGGCCGCCAGTTGCCAGCCGCGCTCGATGCCCACCGTGTTCATTGTCTGCTGCGCTGACCAAGTCCCTCAGCTGCCAGTGGTGTATGCTGGTCGGCCGCTCTGCGGTTGGGGCCGGGTGGCGGGGCACAGCAAGGGCCCCAGCGGCAAGTCAGCATGACAGCTCGCCACGGCCCAATGGGCTCACTGGAGCCAGCGGCAACAGGGCCCCGGCTCATGGTTCTGGCGCGATTCTTGGCATCAAGCCCATCTGTTTCGAATGATGGCGCTGATGGTGGCGTCTTCAGCAACGAATACGCCATGCATGCGACTGGGCGGGTCGACAAAGCGCCAAGCGCGTGCGCGCATGCCGCTGCACACCATAGAGTTGGCTGCCGCTTGTGAAGGTGGCTGCATCAAACTCTGTTTCCTCGTGCATCGCGCACTATTGCAGTGGCCCTGGGGACACGCAGGAGCAAACTATTTCTCGAAACTGTATGTAGATCCGAGGCCGCCGCGTCTCACGCTATTGATGCGCTGAAATGCGCTTCGCTTAGCAATCTAGTTTCGACTCGCTGCATATGATACCGGTACACCTTGGAGCGCGGCACGGGTGAGAATGGACGTGCAAACCAACGGCGTTTGATGTGCTGGCTAATGATGTTCATCAAGAGGAATCAGAGACCAATGTAAGCAGGGCTTGATCGATCACGCGCGGTCGGCACACCTCCAGGTGTGAGGTGAGCACCAAGCGGCACACCAGCGCAATCAGGCCGTATGTTAGCTCAAAAGCGTGTTTTAGTCGCTTGTGCAGCGGGTGCTGCCATCTTGTTGTGCGCATGCCATCGCCCGATGCGGCGGTGTCGCGTAGTCAAAGGCAGCACGAGCAGCCACCCCGGTTCCCACATTATCTTACGCCGAGCTGCCGGGCCGGCACGGCCAGCAGGGTAGCGCATAATGGAAATTCCCAGTAACTCCACCGCGGCCCTGCTGCTGCCGCGGTGGTTGACATGTAGCACCTCGCATGCAAGCGTGTTAGGGCCCTGCACCAGCTGATACGGCAGGCAGCGGCCGCAACTATTAGCACCGCTCTGCCGCCGGGTGCTTCTCCGGAGAAGGGAGCTGCGACGCTTGCGAATCCACTCTGGCATATACAGCCAATGCGTCGTGGCTTTTTGCACCCAAACACCAGAGGACTGGTGCGCCCCTTGGCACCCATCCGCTGGCTGGAGCTATAATTTTAATTTTGCATTGAGAAGCAGGCAAAGGAAGCTGTGGATTGGCAAGTCATATGTCATTGTGCCTTCATTGGCCTTTCATTCCTTGCTTTGGGGATTTGAATATAAGTTTGAAGGGCACCCATGGTGAAGGGTGCAAGCTGTTGTTTCGATTGCATTAAGAAGCAGGCAAAGGAAGCTGTGGGTTGGCAAGTCAGATTTCATTGTGCCTTCATTGGCCTTTCATTCCTCGCTTTCGGGATTTGGATATGAGTTTGAAGGGCACCCATGGTTTTGGCTGCTGCTTTGGCAGACTGCTGCGAGGGTTGAGGGTCCAGGTCGTGCGCACACAGGCAATGGTTTCGGTCTCATGCATGCGTCCCATTGTGAAGCCGATGGGAGTGAACAGCTCAGGGTGCTGGGTGGCAGACGGCACGGCGCGCGGTGGATGCGCAGGCGCAATAGGCAGGCGACGTTCGAGTGGCCAAGTGTGTATGCATAAAAATGGCAGACAGTGGGAAGGATTGACATAAAAATGCGTATGCGTGCGTGCGTGCGTGCGTGTGTGTGTGTGTGTGTGAATGCGCGTGCGTGGTTGCACGTGATCTGCAGGATGTCACAGATGCACACCTGGAGAATCGCGTGTGCAAATGTGTGCTCAAGTGCTCATTGACAGGGCAGGCTCGGCCCCGCTATCCAGGCCAAAGTGCGGCACAGGCGGCAGGCAGACTACCTTGGTCTACTTGTTTGTATATCTGATTGCAATAGTAATGTGTGTGATTGGGCAGACGGCTGTCACACCCATTTCACTCCTTAAATGTGCAATCCAAAGCCTTGAGCAGGGTCCACCAGCTCATCACGCCGTAGACCAACATGCACACGAACACGCAGCGCACGTCGCCATGACCTCGGGTGGTGCTCGTACAACGCATAATTCTCTCAATACCTTCATATAAACAAGTACGCGCAACAAATCGCATCAGGTTGCGCGATTGCTCAGATCAAAAGAACACCTTTCGCTCAATTGTCAAATCTTACCTGAGTGCATTATATCACACTAGTATACTGTTTAAGTTACGGGGGCTCACCAGCCATCCTGCCTCACGCCACTACGGTAGCAGCCGTGTGCCGCAGCAAGCGGCAGCGCGCACCCTACCTTTCCCGTCGAGGCAGGCCTGCAGCCATTGCAAATGCAGAAGGCCCTGACTAGTCGGGCAAATGCCGCGGTACCCCTTACCTGGTCCCGCGATGCCCACCAGCAGCCCCGGCCAGCCCCGCTCTGCCGCGCGGGTTTTGGCGGCTTCGGCAAGTCAGGCGGCGCCAAGGGCGCCAAGCCGCAGCAAGCGCTGGACGCACAGCAGCCCAAGGCTTTGGACGACAAGGCTTGCCCCTGCGGCTCTGGACAGCAGTACAAGGTGAGCCCAAGGCTGGCAGCTGCCAGGGCTCCAACCTGCGAGAGGCAGCTCCACGCCCAGCTCATGGCCGCCGCCCGCACGCCTGCCGAGCTGGGGCGTCCGCGTGGCCAACATGGGGTTTCAGGGTGCAGAAGCCTGCTCAGCCCCGCGCCGCACCGCGCCGCTTTGGCCCGCCATGCAGGAGTGCTGCCAGCGGCTGCACAAGGGCGCGCTGCGGCCGGCGGCGGTGACCCCAGAGATGATGCTGCGGGCGCGCTACTCGGCCATGGCCCTTAAGAACGCCTGGTTCTTGAAAGACAGCAGGTGCGGGGTTCGATTCGCGCCGTGTACGCAGAGTGGCTTTTTGTGTGGGTTTTTTGTGCGCGGGCTGAAGGGTGATGGGTGCTGCCTGATCGCGCCAATTTGAACTAGCCTGGTCCGTTTCAGGATGGCAGGTGAGTTTGGACGAGGAGGGCGCGGGATGTTGGAACGCGCCGACTCACCACTGCAATGCTTGAAGGTGGTTTTGTCTTGGTGCTGGCGGGCGGCTCAATTTGCTGCACACGGGAGATGCAGCAGTCGGTTTGGGCACAGATTGTGTGTTGTCCTGGGTGTGCAGGCCTACCCAGTGGGGACGCCTCAGCGGGTGTGCCGCAATGTCAGCACGGCCTCCCACTGCCATCAGCGGGGGGTCGCACCTTTACGCTGCCCTGTTTTAGGCGCACATCTGCCGTGCCCGCCCCTTGTCCTCCTGATGCCACGCCCCACTCAGCCCCACACTACACTGCCCTATCACCCCTTCCTCCAGCCACCCGGACAACCCTGCACTAAAGGGCAGCGACACAGACCCCTCCACAGGCGTCAAAAAGCACTGCACCTATGAGGTGATGCGGGGGGCCGCTGGCTAACATCACAGTGCTGTGCGATGACAACCCCCTGCAGATGCGCAGCGCGCCTCACTGCCCTGGCGCAGTCGTCATACTTCAAAACGCGGTTGGCTCCATTGCTCAGGACGTGCTGCAGCCCAGCCTGTTGCCGCTGACCAGCATCACGCCAAATTTCACACCATAAACCGCAGGAGGACATGGCGGTTACGCTCAGGAGCATCAAGCTCAAGGGGCTGGAGATCCTGGGGGCGTCACCCGTTGGGGACGCCAGCGCAGCTGATGACGTCATCGGCCCCGCGACCGTTGATTACGCGTTTACCTACAAGCGGAAAATTGACGACAAGGGGGCCAAGCTGAGGATCGAGCAGCAGCAGCCGGTGGTGCGGTCGGTGCAGCGCGCAACGTTCCTGCGGAACGAGGGGCAGCGGTGGCTGCTGCTGGACAGCGTAGACCTGCCGCAGCAGCAGCAGCAGCAGCAGCAGCAGCAGCAGCAGCAGCAACTGGAAGGCAGCGGAGTGTAGGGCCACCAGCGAGCTGCTGAAAATTGCAGGGTTTGACTGGCTGACCTCGCTTGCGCTGCTGTTTGGTCCCTGGGGACCTCAAACATCACCTGCAAGTGGTTGTGATCCCTGGTTTGCTGCAAAAGCCCATTGCACCCGTCGTCCTGCCATGATCGCCCAGACACCCAGCTGCGTGGGGTCGAGCCACTCCTGCTGTGCATGTTACAGTTGCACCGCTCTGTGCAACGATAAGACAGGTACAGGGCTGCGCGGAGCGGGGCCACCAATCCTTGGGAAAGAAAAACTTGCTCCCGCCAAAACCATTCGCCTCTATTCGCTTGTCTCATCGGCAAATCCGAAAAGCAGCTTCCACTGCCTTTCTGTCCACTGCAGCCTCACGGCTGCCGATCCCATTTCAAAGTACCCACAGAGCAGATGCCGCGCCGGCGCCTGCCCGGGAGCGGAGACCCCACGCAGCACGCGCCGCGCACTGCCGAGTCACGCATACTGCCGCGTCGCCGCCGCCACGATCTCCCCCTTGCCCGCGGTGTACCCCGCCGTGTAGGCCGCGTTCTTCAGCCCCCCAAGCGCCACCTCAACGTCAGCCTTGAGGCGCCCCAGCAGGTACGCCCCGTCCGCCGCGCTGCCGCCCGCCGCGGCCGCCGCGTCGGCGGGGGGCTTGCCGAGCAGCGCCGCGGTGACGAGGGCGATGAGCTCGTCGGCGCGTGACTCAACATCAGTCAGCTGCACGTGACGCACCCCATCCGGCACTTTTGCGGGGTGGCCGCCGTGGCCGTGGCCGTGCCCATGCCCGTGTCCGCGCTTGTGGTGGTGCTGCTGCTTGCCGCCGGCGCCCACCTCGCCCTTGCCGCCCCCGCCGCCGCCCGCCGGCGCGGCCGCCGCCGCCGCGCCGCCGCCGCTGCTGCTCGCCGCCGCGGCTGCCGCATCAGCGGCCTTGGGTGGCGGCGGGACCGCGTCCACATACTGCTTCAGATCTGGCGGGCTGTCGTGAGAGATCTTGACCTCCGCCTCCAGATCTACCCAGATCGGCTCCCGGTTGATGGCCCTGAGGCGTTGAACAGCGTCGGATGGCAGTGCATTGGTTTAGACGGTGGATGGCAGTGCATGGTTTGTTCGCAGGCCGCATTGAAGGTGCCGGCCAAGTGCGCCTCTGATGCGTGCCATGAGCTTGATCCGACGCGCTGCACCAACACACGCCGCACGGCGGCCGTCAAGCACCGGAAACCCCAAACCCTGGGTGCCCGCAGCGAGCGCCCCGCCGCCCGTCGCTGCGGCCGCGGCCGCGGCCGCAGCTGCCCATTCAATCACAACAGCAGCCGCAGGGAGTTGCTCCGGGTGTCCCCGCTGCTGTTCCGCCCCGCGCCTTTCGCGCCATCGCGCCGCGACCACCGACCACCGGCCCAGCCCCGCCAAGACACGCGCAGCCGCCCTCCACCCCTTCGGCCCCACCCCTCCCCTCCGCGCACGCCACGTCATCCTGGTGACGACATGTGCAGCGGGGTCCCAGTCCACCACAGCCCACCTCCCCTCAGTATATGCCATGTTGTGTTTGTTGTTTGCTAATCATCACGCACCTGAGGAACGCCTCGAGCCCGTCCGCGTCAAGCAGCACGCTCGCGCTGTTCACGATGGGGTGCACGAAGAACTTCCCGCTCCCCCGCAGCTTCCCGTCCAGCAGCAGCAGCGTGTGGCGCGTGCTGTCCGCGTTTGCGAGGGCCAGGGGCGTCACGCTGCCGGGCGCCACCCGCAGGGTCTCCCCCAGGGCCTCCTCTGGCGCGAGCGTGATGTTGCCGCTGCCGAGGCCGAGGCGGCCCGAGAGGACTGGAGCGGCAGGGGCCAGCGGGCGCACGGGCCGTTCGGGAGGGTCAGCAGGGTGTAAGAGTGGTATTATCAGGCGGCCGCGGTCGATGGGATTTGTGCAGCAGCTGCGCCGGCGGATCGTCGGTTCGGCGGCTTCGCAGCCCAACGCTGTGGCGGCCGCTGCCACCCAAGCTGCGCGGGGTGTCACCGCACCCGCCGTGGTCTCACTTTTGAGGTTGACGGGCGTGTCGGCGAGCGCAGTCACGACGTACGTTCGCTTCTTCTTGTCCTGCGACCCACAGGGTAAAGGAGCACGCGGGCGAGGCACCGAGCTTTGTCGTTCCAGCCCCAACTCTCTGAAGTTTGACAGACAGCCTCTTTTGCCAGCGCGCCCGCGCCTGTCCGCACCGCCATCGTGCTCCGTGCTTGTCTCTGACAATTTATTGTCTCAAAGCCTCCGTCGCTCTCAAAGCCAAAGCTCGAGGCTGCCTGCGGCTCCTGTGCCCCCGCCGCTCCTCGCGAGCACGGAGGCCGCACTCGTCCCACTGCTGGATTGCCGGCTGCGGCGCACCCGCAAAAACAGGTTCTTCGTGACCTTGCCTTCCACATTGGCGAGCGCAGAGGCCTGATGTGGGTGCGGGATGGGACCGCAAGGTCAGCTGCTGCAGGAGCGCGTGCAGCGGGCGCCGCGCAAGCAGCAGCGTGCAGGTGCCATCGGCCTCACTGCACCTGGGCCTCGCATGTCAAAACTGGCTCGTGCTCAAAGAGCTCAAACTCCACGCCATTGTCCTTTAGAAGGGCGAGCACGCTGTCCTTCGTCTGCGCCATGCTTCACTGAGACTTGCTGCCAAAACAATTCGGAGTTCGGTTGCGTTCAGGTCATTGACAATCAGAGCAATCAATCATACACGTGGGATTCCCGTATGAAAGCAAAGCTGCCAGCTTCAATTGCATAGCGGTGGTGTGATCTCCCCGTGAGTCTCGTGAGATCTGGCTGGCCCATTGGCGCTCCTATATCACAGAAGTGCACTGTGTAATTTGGCTTATAAGTCACTTTGTCGAAGATGGTGACTTTGCGGGCACCAGGCGGGGCTGCATCGTCAGCAGGAAAGCGGGTACCCCCTACAAAGGGCTCTTGCGATGCCAGGGACTCGCAGAACGTCAGGATCAAGACGAACCCTCGTTACTGGGTCCAGCGGGGTCGCACGGCCGCGCGGAGCACCGCGTCGCCCGGCGCCGCGGCCTCGGCGCCCGCTGACGCTGCCGAGCAGCTCGCCGCAGTGGCAGCCATCCTCGCGGCGCACGACGGCGGCGACGGCGCCGCCGAGGCCATCGGCAGCGGCACGGCCATGGACTCCGTCGAGGACGACGCGCGCCGCCTGCTGCTCCGCGGGCCCCCAGAGGCGCTTGATGTCGATGCGCTCGCCACCGCGGTCGGCATCCTCCGCGCGCGCCTCGACGACGACGGCGCTGCCTGCGCCCTGTCCGGCCGCCTGCTCGACCTGCTCGCCCTCCTCGAAGCCCGGCCGCGCCGCGGCGGCGGCGATGGCGGCGCGAGCCCCGGCAGCAGCGGCGGCAGCAGCACCGGCGGCGGGCCGGACGAGACGATAGAGTCCGCGGCGCACGGGTTTTGGGGCGGCGGAGACGAGTGGTCTGATATCAGGGCGGCGCTGATGGGCATTGGGGTAGACGTAACCCTGGATGAGGATGACGCGCTCGACCTCGGCCTCGAGGGCGGCGGCGATGGCGGCGGCGGCGTGCGCCTCGACGCGGAAGCTGCCGAGCAGCTGGCGTATTTCTTGTCCGAGCTGCGCCAGCAGCGGTCGGCTGCAGGGGCAGGGGCAGGGGCAGGGGCGGCGGGGCCGCCGCAGGA